AAGACACGGCCCCAAGAGGCTCCCAAGACGGCCCAAGATGGCCTCCAAGACGGCCCAAGAGCCCTCCAAGACGTCCTGCAAGAAGGCCCGAAAGGGTGAAAATGGCCTCCAGACGGCCAAGATGACCTTCAAGATGCCCACGTGTTCCCCGAAGGCTTTCCAAACCGATTCGGGGAACACATGGTCCGATGGCTTGGCAGGTCTGGCCTCAACGTTCGGCCACATAGGCGCTTCCACAAAGGCAGGGGGCGGCGGTGATCCGCCGCCCCCTGTCGATTCATCGCAGGGGTGCCTGGCGTGCTGAACCCTCTAGGTTTTGGCTTTGGTTCTTTTTCCAAAAGAACTCCCCCTGGGGCTTCGGCCCGTCCCGCCGGCCACCCGGAAGGCGCTCAATTCCCAAATTTCCTGCCCAAGACCGCTCCAAGGTGGCCTCCAAGGTGCCTCCAAGACGGCCAAGATGGCCTCCAAGACGGCTAAGATGGCTTTCAGATGCCTCCAAGACGGCCCAAGAGAGTCCAAGACGGCCCAAGAAGGCCCAAGAGGCCCCCCAGAGGCCTCCCAGACGGCCCAAGAGGCCTCCAAGAGGTTCTCCAGGAGGGCCCGAAGAGGCCAAAATAATTGTTTTTCCTATGGTTTTTGAAGGATTTTGGAATTTGCTTCTTCTCTGCATTCCGACGGCTCAAGACGGCCCAAGAGGCCCTCAAGATCGCCCAAGAGCCCCCCAAGAGGGCCCCATGACGGCCCAAGTGGCCTCCAAGATGGCCCCAAGAGGGCCAGGAACCCACCAAGATGGCCGAAGTTGGCTCGAAGTTGGCCGAAAAGGGCCCAAGAGGCCCCCAAGAGGACCTCCACGAAGGCCAGAGGCCAAAAACATTGATTCTCCCAAGGTATTCGACGGATTTTGACATTTCCTTCTTTTCGGCCTTCCGACGGCCCGAGACGGCCCAAGAGCCGCCAAAGATCGCCGAAAGATCGCCCAAGAGGCCTCCAAGACGGCCAAGATGACCTTCAAGATGCCCACGTGTTCCCCGAAGGCTTTCCAAACCGATTCGGGGAACACATGGTCCGATGGCTTGGCAGGTCTGGCCTCAACGTTCGGCCACATAGGCGCTTCCACAAAGGCAGGGGGCGGCGGTGATTCGCCGTAGGCGTCTTCGATCCGCTGCCCCCTGTTGATTCATCACAGGGGTGCCTGGCGTGCTGAACTTCTTACGGTTTTGGTTTTGGTTCTTTTCCAACAAAACTCTCCCAGCGGGCTCCGGCACGTCCCGCCGGGGTCCCGGGAGGATGCCGAAAGATCTTCCAGAGGTGGTTGCAAAGGGTTTTTCCGTTCCAGACGGCTCCAAGATGGCCCAAGATGGCCTCCAGGATGCCTCCAAGACGGCCAACATGCCCTCCGAGACGGCTAAGGTGGCCCCAAGATGCCTCCAAGACGGTCCAAGAGGGACCCAAGACAGCCTAAGATAGCCTCAAGATGGCCTAAGACGGCCCAAGAGGCCCCTAAGAGGCCTCCAAGACGGCCCAAGAGGCCTCCAAGAGGTCCTCCAGGAAGGCCCGAAGAGGCAAATTATTGTTGATTTCCGTTGGGTTTTTGAAAGATTTTGGCATTTGCGCCTTTTCGGCTTTCCGACGGCCCAAGACGGCCCAAGAGGCCCCCAAGATCGCCCAAGAGGCCTCCAAAATGGCCCCATGACGGCCCAAGAGGCTCCCACGACGGCCCCAAGAGGGCCCGAAGACGGCCCAAGAAGCCTCCAAGACGCCCACGATGGCCTCCAAGACGCCCAAGATGGCCTCCAAGGCGGCCCCGAAGCGCCCCAAGAGGGCCCCAAGTCGGCCCAGAAAGGCCCCCAAGACGGCTCCCGACGGCGTCAGACGTGCCAGGAACCCACCAAGATGGCCGAAGTTGGCTCGAAGCTGGCCCAAGACGGCCCAAGAGGCCCCCAAGAGGGCCCCAAGAGGGCCTCCAGGAAGGCCAGAAGAGGCCAAAAACCTTGATTGTCCTAAGGTTTTCGACGGATGTTGACATTTGCTTCTTTTCGGTCTTCCGACGGCCCGAGGCTGCCCAAGAGCCCCCGAGGATCGCCGAATGATCGTCCAAGAGGCCTCCAAGATGGCCCCAGAACGGCCCAAGGGGGCCCCAAGACGGCCTCAAGAGGCCCCCAAGACGGCACAGGAGGCCTTTAAGACGCCTAAGATGGGCCTCCAAGACGGCCCTGGAGCATTCCAAGAGGGCCCCAAGTCGGCCCATAGAGGCCCCCCAAACGGCTTCCGACGGCGTCAGACAGACCAGGAGCCCACCAAGACGGCCGAACATGGCCCTAAGATGGCCCAAGACGGCCCGAGAAGGCCTCCAGGAAGGCTCGAAAAAGGCCCAAACCAATGATTTGCCTAAGGAGTTTTGGAAGAATTGTGGCATTTGCTTTTTTTCTGCCTTCCGACGGCCCGAGAAGGCCCAAGTGCCCCCGAAGATCGCCCAAGACGGTCCCAAGAGGCCCCCAAGACGGCCCAAGAGGTCTCCAAGACGCTCAAGATGGCCTCCAAGACGGCCCACGAGCCCTCCAAGACGTCCTCCAAGAAGGCCCGAAAGGGTCAAAATGGCCTCCAGACGGCCAAGATGACCTTCAAGATGCCCACGTGTTCCCCGAAGGCTTTCCAAACCGATTCGGGGAACACATGGTCCGATGGCTTGGCAGGTTTGGCCTCAACGTTCGGCCACACAGGCGCTTTCATAGGCGCTGTCCCAGACACGGCCGCAGAGGCCCCCAAGACGGCCCAAGCTGTATCCAAGACGCTCAAGATGGCCTCCACGACGGCCCAAGAGCCCTCCAAGACGTCCTCCCGGAAGGCCCGAAAGGGCCAAATCATGGATGTTGGCATTTGCGCCTTTTCGGCTTTCCGACGGCCCAAGAGGCCCCCAAGATCGCTCAAGAGGCCCCCCAAATGGCCCCATGACGGCCCAAGTTGCTTCCAAGACGGCCCCAAGAGGGCCCCAAGACGGCCCAAGAAGCCTCCAACACGCCCAAGATGGCCTCCAAGACACCCAAGATGGCCTTCAAGCTGGCCCCGAAGCGCCTCAAGAGGGCCCCAAGTCGGCCCAGAAAGGCCCCCAAGACGGCTCCCGACGGCGCCAGACGTGCCAAGAGCCCACCAAGATGACCGAAGTTGGCTCGAAGCTGGCCCAAGACGGCCCAAGAGGCCCCCAAGAGGGCCTCCAGGAAGGCCAGAAGATGCCAAAACCATTGATTGTCCTTAGGTTTTTGACGGATTCTGACATTTGCTTCTCTTCGGCCTTCCGACGGCCCGAGACGGCCCAAGAGCCCCCGAGGATCGCCGAAAGATCGCCCAGGAGGCCCCCAAGATGCCCCCAGAACGGCCCAAGGGGGCCCCAAGACGGCCCCAAGAGGCCCCCAAGACGGCACAGGAGGCCTCTAAGACGCCCAAGATGGGCCTCCAAGACGGCCCTGGAGCATTCCAAGAGGGCCCCAAGTCGGCCCATAGAGGCCCCCCAAACGGCTTCCGACGGCGTCAGACAGACCAGGAGCCCACCAAGACGGCCGAACATGGCCCTCAGATGGCCCAAGACGGCCCGAGAAGGCCTCCAAGAGGGTCCCCAGGAAGGCCCGAAAAGGCCAAAATCATTGATTGTGGCATTTGTTTTTTTTCTGCCTTCCGACGGCCCGAGACGGCTCAAGTGCCCCGCAAGATCGCCCAATACGGCCCTAGACACGGCCCCAAGAGGCCCCCAAGACGGCCCAAGCGGTCTCCAAGACGCTCAAGATGGCCTCCACGACGGCCCAAGAGCCCTCCAAGACGCCGCCCAAGAAGGCCCGAAAGTGTCAAAATGGCCTTCAGACGGCCAAGATGACCTTCAAGATGCCCACGTGTTCCCCGAAGGCTTTCCAAACCGATTCGGGGAACACATGGTCCGATAGCGTGGCAGGTTTGGCCTCAACGTTCGGCCACATAGGCGCTTCCACAAAGGCAGGGGGCGGCGGTGATTCGCCGGGACGTCTTCGATCCGCCGCCCCCCTGCTGATGTATCACAGACCCCTCCATCCTTCGCATCCCTCTCCTCCTCCTCCTCCTCCTCCTCCTCCTCCTCATCATCATCATCATCATCAGCATCAGCATCAGCATCAGCATCATCACCATCACCATCACCATCACCACCACCATCACCATCATCATCATCATCATCATCATCATCATCATCATCATCACCATCATCATCATCATCATCATCATCATCATCATCATCATCATCATCATCATCAGCATCATCATCATCAGCAGCATCATCATCAGCATCAGCATCAGCATCAGCATCAGCATCAGCATCAGCATCAGCATCAGCATCATCATCATCATCAGCATCAGCATCATCATCATCATCATCATCATCATCAGCCGCTTCCTCTTTCTCTTCCTCCCCTCGCCTCCCCAGCGAGCCCCAGAGATAGCCCGAGGAAGCCCTCCAAGGCCACCCCTTGCTCCCAGAGCTCTCTCTGTTCATGCTGGTTGCCCGCTTTGTTTCACTATGTGTGTCTCTTCGTCTCTTTTTCCGTCAACTCTCATGGGCTGGGTTTCTGAATGAGCTGGTGGGGGTACGTGAAGCGTGAAGAATTCTATGCCTGTCGGCGTCATTATGGTTGCTCATAGGGTCCCGCCCCTGGGGATCCTGCCTTAGCTGCCAGGCCAGTCCTCTGAAAGTGTTTGCAAGTCACGCCATGGCATTATGATACTTTTCAGTTCACGCAGTCGGTGCGAACTCGCTCCAAGCATGGCTACACAGCAGGTCTACGACGCATCCTCGGCTTCCAGCGGTAGGGGCAAGCCAAAGGTGCACTGCGGGTGAGGACGCACGCCAAAGAACTATAGTATTACCCGAAATTCGAAACGTACGTATTATGATCAAGAAGTGAATGCGTCAGGGACTCAGGGTAACCCTGCTTTGCAAACTCCCTATCTACAGCTGGCACTGGAAAAGAGCCTACGTGCTGCTAGCTGGCACTACCCGCACCATTACCATCCACGGAAAGCGAGATGTGTGCCAGGTGCACGCATAGCTGGTCGCCACACTGCATCTTAAAGGGCTCCTTGGGAAGCTTCATGAGCTGCTCGAAAGACTCGTCGGTTGCGAAAATGAAGGCCAACACCCGGTTCACGTAAGTCACCGACTCTGAGGTCTCTCCAGGCTTTGTCATCCGGATCGCCGCCTGCTGATCGTCTTTCGTCACGTCCCCATACCACACGACACACTGGTCGTCCGGCCCGAGCACGGGGTCGCTGTCTCTGTCGATGCCCGACGCCAGCTGCATAAGGACGTCCATCATCACGTCCTCGGTTTGGAAGAACTCCTTGGCCCGCGGGTGGGCATACTGGCTCCACTCTTTGACGAGCGCCTGATTCTCCTGCTCGGTGCGCGGCCGGAAGGAGGCCTCGTCCCTCTTGGACTCAGTGGTGGACCTCTTGCCCTTGCCCTTCTTCTTCTTATCCCTCTGATCCTTCTTGTCATTGTCGTCGCCCTGGTCAAACAGCGCAGCAAAAGGCCCCTCGGCGCACATGCGGCAATTGAACATGACTCCAGGTGCAGGATAGCTCTGCGCTACCGCAGCGCTGCAAGACGATGGACGACTCCGCCGCTACGTAACGGCCCCGGCAACGGCGCACGCCTGCCAGGCTTGAGCCCAAACGGCTGCAACGAGGTCGATGATGCTGGTGACGATGTCGAACGTATGCATGTGGGCGATGTCGGAAACCCTAAACCAAAAAAACGTTTTCATATCTTGGGGGCACATCTTCTACTTCCGCCGCCTTCCGCCGAGCTTCCGCCGGCGGAGGCGGCCTCGCCATATTTCCGCCGACCATCCGCCGCCCTTCCGCCACCGTCCGCGGTGGAAGAGATGACAGGTCTTCCGATCCTCGACGGCAAGGTCATTTCTGGAACGGCACGGATGGTTCGCACATCGATATGCATGTGCATATGTATATACATCTACAAATGTATGCATCTAGACGAGGGGGAAAGAGACATGTACCCCAGAATTTGTTCGGTCGAAAGACGCAAAACGTTCGCAGGTCTGCGAATGTTCGACATCTGTGTCGTAGATTCGGCGGCAAATCGAAAACGTGGGGGCACGTAACCTCTGTATTCGCTCTCGTACTCGAAGTGGGGGCGGCTCGCCCCACCACCGCTCTGGGGGGAGGACCAGGGACATGGCATATACCAGGCGCTGGGCGCCCAGCTGCTGCGTGGTGGTCCAAGCCCCCTTCTTCGGGGACGGATAGAAAGCCCTTGAACTGCATCTCCCTGACAATCAATTCCATCCTCCCCCCCTTCCCACGCGAGAGTGAAATATCCCCGGCCAGTGAAGATTTGGTCGGGGAAGAGGGGCGGCAAAGCCGAACTTGAGTATCGTGGGGGAAAGTTGCGAATCGAAGTTGCGATCTTCCTATGTTAAGTAGCAAGGGTCCATAAGGTTTCCTATGGAGGATCCAATTGATGTCCTTAGGGAATTTATGGATTTCCAAAGAGATCCGATGGATTTCCTGAGGGATCCGATGGATTTCCGAAGGGATCCGGGATCATATGGATGTCCTAAGGGACCCCGTGGATATTCTAAGGGATCCGATGGATGTAGTAAGGAATGTTGTGGATGTCATACGGATTCCGATGGAGATCCTAAAGAATCACATGGATGTCTTAAAGGATCCGATGGATTCCCTAAGGAATTTTATGGATTGCCGGAGGACTCCTGTGGAGCGTTCAGGATGATGATGATGATGATGATGATGATGATGATGATGATGATGATGATGATCATCATCACCATCCTCCTCCTCCTCATCCTCCTCCTCCTCATCATCATCACCATCATCACCATCATCATCATCATCATCATCATCACCACCACCACCACCACCACCATCATCATCATCATCATCATCACCATCATCATCATCGTCATCGTCATCGTCATCGCTAGTATCTTCATCATGATGCTGAGATCTCCAGGAAAACGTGTATTATCCACCCTGGACCCCGAACTTAATTGTCCACAGGGGATTCATATCAGGGGCAGTTGGTCAGCAGAACATGGTCAGCAGCGAGGGTGGTCGCCAACGCGCTCGGAAAGCTGGCGGGCCGCGCCGGGACTGCGGCATAGTAACCAGACTGGGAAAAGAGGAGGGCGGCCGCGGAGGAGCGCGGCGGGGGGCCTCGGGCGTAGAGAGAGAGTCTTGCCAGGAGCAGTGCGCAGGCGGCTTCGGGCACCAGATGCCGGCGCGCTGGAAGGTGAGCGGCCAGCGCGCCCTCCAGCAGAGCCTGTTCCGCCGCGGCACGGCAGAGGCGATCCGCTCAAGCGTCGAGCAACCCGGGCCATGGTCTCGAATGCAAGGGGGTAAGCAAAGAAAGAACCAGGCGGTCGCGGAGCCTAGCAGGACGCCCTCTAGTGAAAAACGACCTGGGACCGGACCTCGCGGGCGCGGGCCTGCAAAACTGCATGGCGGCACGTCCCTCCCAAGGACCGAAGAAGGGCAACTCGCGACTCGACTCGGCATGGGTGGGTGTTCTGTCCATCTCCGACTGCTTCGACCCGCCGCTCCAATCCCACCCCCCCGACGTCATGAATTGTTCACAGCGTCGACCCCAAGCGTCTCGACCCGTGCCCCGGGACAGGTCCTTCACCCTGAGTGGTCTTTGACCGCCTCGAGGCCCGGCCATGCAGGGCCCACCCGAGGCCGGAGAGAGCGAAGAACTTTCTGTCGCGAGTTTTGTTTCTGCCTGAGAGCGTCGGCGGCTGCGAGCGAGGGGGGAACTGAGAAGGAGAAGGCCTTCTCAGAAGGCGGCGGGACTTCTCAGAAGCCATCGCGCCCTCCGAGAAGTTTCTTCCAAGTCTTCGGGGAAGGCTTCGAGGACTTCTCAAAGGCCCGGGGGACCTCACTTCCCCCCTGGACTCGCCGCCGAGAGGGGCCACGGATCGCCGCCGCCGTCGACGTGCGTGCCGCTTTCGTCGTCGGTGTCGCCGTAGCCGTCCTCGTCGCCGTCGTCGGAGGACGGCGAATGCCAACATAGGCCCGTGGTGCCTCCAAGGCCCCGAGGCCCGGCAAGGGCCCCCCCGAGGCCGAAGAGAGCGAAAAACCCTCCGTCGTAATTCGTTTTTCCTGCCTCAGAAGGGGGCCTGGGATCGCCCCCCCCCCCCCCCCCCCCCCCCAGGCGGCAGCAGCCGAGGCGGGCACTGCAGCTCGGCCCCCGGCCCCTCTGGCAGCGGCGCCCAGAAGCCCTCCGCGCCAGAGCAGGGCGCCGGCAGCTGCGCGAGGGCCACCTGCGGGGCCGGCAGCCCTCCGACGGCAGCGGAGCACCGCTCCCAGACGTGGTCGCGTCTTACAAAAAAATCAGGACGTGAGGTTTTTATCCAAGTTCGGCCTCGGGGGGCCCTCGCCGGGCCTCGGGACCGTCAGAAAACGACTCAAGGTGACAAACCTGCCCCGTGGAAAGGGTAGGGACTTCCAGGGACCTCGTCTTCAAAAAATCAAGACGTCGCATGTCTGGGGACGGCAGCGGAGCATCGTTACACAGACCACTTGTCCCCGCGGGCGTGGCCTGGGCCCCACTGGCCGATCCGCCCCCCCAAGAATGGAGATGCAGGCTGCTTCCTCCAGGTCTCGAGGGGCATATCCCCAACAGGGGTACTGAGATGGGGGGGGTCTGGATGGGGGTGGGGATGGGGACAGGGGTAGGTGAAAGGATGCTGCGCAGCATATGCGAAAAAGAGTCCTGCCTGCAAGATATATGCGGTCGGGAGCTTGTGCTGGGCGTGTCGCGGCGGCGGGCCCTGCGATACGTCATGCCCTGCGAGTCATAACGCTTCGCTCCGCTCTCCGCTCCGAGGGGGTGGCGGCTCGGGAAGCGTCCGGAACGTTGACGCCTGGCGACCAGGACGTGGTCAGCGTGTCGCCCGAAGCGGGGTGGGCCAGAACCAGCGGCGCGACACGCAAAGCCAATGCGGCACTTCCCAAGTTGGACCCAGGGCTTCTGTGGGTGCCGAGGGCCGTGGGGGGATCAGATAGCCCCGCCTGCTGGCAGGCTGGTGCTCTTGCTTGATGCGCTGGCTGCAGCAGCGGACTGGGGCGCGCTGCGGAATCCTGGGAAGCCCCAGCACCCCTCAAAGTTTCGCGCGCATTCCCCGCCATCTCATCCTTGGGGGAACAGGACCCAGACATTCGGCGTCCTGACTTGTTTAATACGGGGTCCCTGAAGTCCCGACCCGTTCCCTGGGACCGGTGTTTCGTCCTGAGTCGTTGTTGTTTGACGCTCCCGAGGCCCGGCGACGGCCCCCCGAAGCCGAAAATGGCCAAAAACCTCCCGCCCTGATTTTGTTACGACGCGATCATGTCTGGGCCAGCACCCCTCAAAGCTTCGCGCGCATCCCCTGCCATATCCTTGGGGGAACGAGGGACTGCTACTCACAGGGCTCTTCCTGGATTGCGCTCCAGCCGTGGCGACCGGGGCACCCGGGGGGAAGGCCCCCAAATGGCGGCAAAGCGAAGGTCACTGGTATCGGTACCCGCCTTCTGCCCTGAGCCACACCACCCCTGCTGCTTGGCCTGGCGCGGCAAGCACGGACGATCCATCGCCTGTGACCGCAGGGCTGGACCTAAGCGGTGCTGCTCGTCTTCGCTGTGTGTTCCGTCCTTCCTCGCTTTGCCTGCGCTTCTCCTGGAACGCGAAAGAAAACGCAAAACAAAACGGCCCACGAGATGGTGAGCGTTTTTGATTCGGCGTTTCGACATTGGTGAAGGAGGGAGGGAGGGGGGGTCTGGCCCTGGACCTCTGCTTAATGCGACCGTTTGCAACAGGGCGTCCATTCTAGAGGGGGGCTCCATCTGCTCGAAACAGGCGCCAAAAAACAGCCAAGATCCACTCCAGAGGGGGGGGGGTCCGAGGGCCCGCGCCGATCGGCACAACGAGAAATAAAACAACATCACATGGCCAAAGCAC